CCTTCTTTCCCTCTCTTTCTCTCTCTGGTAAGTACACACAACACCCTCTAGCAAAGAAAAACAAAAGGTATGGTCTCAAAAATTTGTATGAGTGTGCCCTTCGCTGTTAATCAATGGTGATCTGTAGCTGATCAAATTATTAGAGACCTTTATATTCTCCTTTTCGTTATCTATATTTTTTATTTTCTATAGCTCATACATTACCTGTATAACCTAGTCACTGTAATGTACTCATACCATCTGTCAGGGTTTTGACTTGTCAGTATAAAAAAATACGTCAGTAACCAAAGCATTCTTTTCCCTTTTAGGCTTTACAACTTCTAAGGAGTATCTAGTAAACTTCTAAAGACTGTTTCTTACCAATCCCATCTTTCACCCGAATGGCTTCTGCCTTTCCAGAGCAGTGGCGCAGTAGATAAAACTTTACCTGGGCCAGCCGGTGGTGTGGAGGTTAAGGAGGCTGGATCCTACATGGCTGACCAAGCAGTTAAGAGTCCTGAGACCAGCAGATGGCATAACGGTTACGTCACAAGACTTCACGTAGCTGACCATGTTTAAGTGCCAGACCCAGATGCTTAAAACTCACACCACGTGTATATGCGTGCATGACCAAAATCCCAAGAAGAGAATGGAGAAGAAAGGATTATGATGTGGCCATCCCCTCCTCCCTCCAGGAGTGGTTTCTTTCTTTCTGTCTCTCTGGTGAGTGCATGTACCCTATAGCAAAAACAAAAACAAAACCACCAGGCATGTGTGCATGCATGCACAAAATCCCAAAAGGAGAGACAGAAAAGGGATTGCAGCATGACTGTCCTCTCGAAGGAGGTATTTTTTCACTTTCCCTCTCTTTCTCTTGTAAGTAAGTGCTTGTGCCCTTTAGCAAATTTTAAAAAGAAAAGAAAAAGGAAAATGTACCCAACGCCACATAGCAAGCATTCTGGGAAAGGTCACCTGACCTTCTCACAGGTCAAGTGGTCCAGATATAAAGAGGTCCAAGTAGAGTTGGCTGGTTAGAAACAAATAACAGCACAGGGACCAGCAGTTAGCATAATGGCTATGTCTCTCAACTCCCATGTAGTTGACCGTGGTTCGTGTCCCGGACCCGGTGGCTTAAAACTCACGCCGGGTGCGTGTGCATGCGTGCCCAAGATCCCGAGAGGAGAATGGAGGAGAAGGGATTGTGGCATGGCCATCTCCCCTGGGGAGTGATTTCTCGCTTTCTATGTCTCTGTCTCTCTCTCTCTATATCTGGTGAGCGCACATGCCCTATAGCAAAAAAAAACAAAAAACAAACAAAAACAAAAACTAAAAAACAAAAAAACACCTCTCAAAAAAAAAAAAACTAAAACAAAACAAATACTGTTAACAAAACAAATACTGTTACGTACTGTACCAGAGTTAACCTGGGGGTCCAGCCATGCCATGTTGGTCATAGGAATCTGGGGGCAAACCAGACCTTCAGACTTTTCTGTAGAATAGTCTAGCCAGTGGAAGCAATTACTGACAACTCCTCCACATGAGAGCAGCTTTCTACCCAGAAAGGCAGAGAGCTGGGTAGACCCCAGTCACCCAGAATATTCCCAAACTCACCTTTGTGGCCATGGTCTTCACCCCATGAATTCTCCACTCTCCATTTTATGAATGCGCCATCCTTATCACCCTACCAAAGGAAAAAAAGTGGATGAAAATGTATAGCCTGAAACTGGATTATGCCCGCCAAAGTATCGTATAACTTTAGCTCATCCATGCCACTGCGAATAACGAGCCTGCTCTCTACGCCGCGATATAAACGATCAGGGCCAGGTGTTGCCCACTACCCCTAAAGAGATACTCCAATAGAAGCATTTGAATCTGTTAGAATAAAACTAGAGTAGAGCTAATAAAACAGTAAATAGTATCGTTTCCTTTAGACTACACAGAAAATACACATGAAAATGCTACTTGGCCAAGGAATATAAAATATATCACATTGCTAAAGATAGTGAACACTGCTTAAAGTTAGGGAACCTTGCTGTTAATCAAATACTCTTGTGAAGGCATCCCACGGTTTTTAGTTTAGGAATGACTCTAAGACCTGGTCAGAGTTTTGAAAAAACAAACAGAAACAAAATAAACACATTCTCATCATACTGGCTGGCTTTCCACTTTGGAAAACCAAGTAATGACACGCTCCAACTGGGCTCTTTTACTGATTCAGTTACACAAATATTGAATTTAATACAACAGATACTGAATGGCAAAGCAAAAGTAAAAAGGCCATTTTCCATAAACAACACCCAGATAGTTCTGTTCCCTCTCTTCTGTCTTCATTAATAAAATTAGCGCAGTGCTCATCTGCTTACAGGGACAGTGATACTCATCATAGTAACATTCGTTTATAGCCTTTACTACAGTGACATGGACAGCGACAAGAAGAAGGCACCATTTGGGAAAAGACTTTTCTCTTTCCTGTTTACCCAGGACATTTTAAGTTGTCAAAACAACTTAAATCTTCGTAGCATGACAAGAGTGCTGCCCCTGTATTACTTCCTAATGATTTCATCTGTCAGCTCCCACTTGCATGTCACTGTATGATGAGTCTCATCGACATGGGATTTGGTTCCCTTTGGCTCTGCTGACCTGAACACTCTACTCTGGGCATTTTCTTGGATCTCAGTCATTTTCAGTCTCAGAAATGGCCAACAAACAAAGCCCTCTCTGTGCCAACCTTTAGTCTCAGTCCCAGAAACCTTTAGTACCACGCCACAATACATTCTGAGGCTGGCCTGGTAAATATGGTTTAACATGGTTTTCTATTCTATTACAGTCCACCTTTGCTTTCAATTATCACTGTTAAAATCTCACATCTCTATCACCAGCTGCTGGCGGGTGCCGCGGCGGTTAAGGGTGCTGGACTCCCACATGGTCGACTACAGTTTGAATCCTAGACCTGGAGGCTTGCTTTCTTGCTTTCCCTCTCTCTCTTGCTCTGTCCCTCTCTGGTCAAATTGAAATGAACGTAGGTAGGTAGGGAAGAAGGAAGGAAGGAAGGAAGGATGGCTGAATAAAGTAATTCTTTTTTTTTTTTAGAAGTTTTTGCTATAGGGCACGTGTGCTCCCCAGAAAGAGAGAGAGAGACAGAAAGCAAGAAAGCACCCCCCAGGGGGATGGCTACATCACAATCCCTTCTCCTCCCTTCTCCTCTCAGGATCTTGGGTATGCACGCACACACGCTCGGCGTGAGTTTAAGCCACCAGGTCTGGTCAAACCACAGTCATCTGGGTCCAGCAACATAGCCATTACGCCAACTGCTAATCCCGGAATAAAGTAATTCTTCAAAAAATAAAAATAGAAATCTCTATCACCTGAAAGTTGTTTACCTATTACTGTAATAAGTGAAAATGTTTCTGAGTCTTTTCTTTGCCCATGAATTCCTCCATGACCTAGACCAAGTTGTTCTTTGGGCCATTTATAAATACAGAATGATAATACCTGGGCCTCCATCATAGAAAGTCCATGAAATCAGCAACAAAAAAGAATATTGCAGAAATAAAACACCAGTATTATGTGAAAAATTCAAGTGAATATAACACATACCTCACATTTGCATGTCATAGTGGAAGCTATATTTCTCTGTGTTATTCAAATATAGCTCCAACTAATTTATATGATCAAAAACTGTAAGTGGAAGGAACAGAAAATATTTAAATATAGAATTCCAGTCATGATAATATGAAGTCTGCTTTATACTACTAGCACGTAAGGCAGCTCCAATTCCCTGAAGAAATAAACTATGCCAATAAAAAAAATGGAAGTTTAAGAGAAAATGACATGAAGCTCTCAAGAATTTTACTTCTGAAACACAGAAATACTCTACAACAGATAAAAAATGGTAAAAAGCTGAGTTTCTCTTAGTAATTATAACAAGTTTTTATTTATTTTGCCTTTTTTATTTTGTTTTTTTAACGGCAGAGAAAGAGAGAGCGGAAGTAAAGGGAGGAGAGAGTTTTTTGGTTTTTGGACAGGGTGTTTCCTTTGAGATTCTCAGCCCCGGCGCCCCCAGTGCTTTGCTTCTAAAAAAGTGACTGTCTACATAGCTTATTAGTTTAACTTTGGGAAGCCTGGGCCATCCCTGTGGCCTGGAGATGAAGGGAGCTGGATCCCACATGGCTAAATGAGCGGTT